TGATTACTACCCCCTCTGGTGTTGAAAAGATCCTCCGAGACCTAAATCCCTCCAAAGCAGCTGGGCCTGACAAAATACCATCCCGCATCCTTAAAACCATGCAACTGAATTAGCCCCCAACATCTGCTCAGTGTTTAATATCTCTTTACAATCTGGAGAGCTCCCACCTGACTGGCGTTTGGCACATGTGTCACCAGTGTTCAAGAAGGGAAACAGGGTTGAAACCAACAACTACAGACCCATTTCCCTTACCTGCATATCCTGTAAGTGCCTTGAACACATTGTGCATAGCCACATAATGAACCATCTTGAGGAGTGCAACATTCTTAACACACTACAACATGGATTCAGATCTCGTAGGTCTTGTGAAACCCAACTCATGTTGACAATACATGATCTCGTCAACTCCCTAGATAACCACAAACAAATTGATGCCATTGTTCTTGACTTTTCGAAAGCTTTTGACGTGGTCGCACACCAGCGTCTCTTACTAAAACTCAACAACTATGGCATAACTGGAACTACTCATTCCTGGGTCAAGGGCTTCCTCAGCAACAGGACCCAGAGGGTTATCTTGGAAGGAGCCAAGTCTTCCCCTGTCACTGTAACTTCTGGAGTACCACAGGGAACCGTTCTCGGTCCGCTCCTCTTCCTACTATACATAAATGACATCTCGGAAGGCCTAAATTCCAACATCAGACTTTTTGCCGATGATTGTCTCATTTACAGAGAGATAAACAAAGCTACGGACAGCCAAAGCCTGCAACAAGACCTCCACATACTTCAAACCTGGCAAGCCAAGTGGCAAATGCGATTCAATGCCAAGAAGTGTCATGTCCTCTGCATTAGTCGTAAACGCAAGAACATCATCACTGACTACACCCTCTGTAACACCATCCTCTCTGAAGTGCCTTCCCACCCATACCTAGGCTTGACCATCTGCAATGACCTCAGGTGGAATGAACAAACTGGGAATGCAGTCTCCAAAGCCACCAGAGCACTTGGAGTTGTGCGTCGCAACCTCAGAGGGTGCCCCACATCCCTCAAAGAAAAGGCCTACAAGTCCATCGTTAGGCCCAACCTTGAGTATTGTGCCTCAATCTGGGATCCCCATACCCAAAGGAACATTAATGCCCTAGAGCAAGTCCAACGTAGTGCTCTCCGTATGGTCGACAACAACTATGCTAGAGAACCAGGCACGATCACCAAGTTATATGATAAGTACCAGTGGGATAAACTTGACACTAGACGTAGCAATAGCAGACTTTCCCTCATGTACAAAATAGTAAATGACAAGGTAGAAATCACATCTTCAGATTTCTTCACCCCCCTTAGATCAAAAACCTGCCATAACAATACTCTGAACTTCACCACATACTCTTGTAACACAGACATATTCAAATACTCTTTTGTACCAAGGACCATTGTCAGGGTTCGAACCTAACTTTTTAGACTGGTAGTGAAAATAGTTACCTGACATTTTTTCTAGGTAACTAAATTCCAAAGTAAGGTAGTTTTTTTACCGGTTGAAAAAATTTCGATAGACACAGTTTTCCTTGACACTAAAAACAAATCTATCGATCTGTTGATCTCAAGTTTATTATAGTTTACAAAATAACCCCCCCCCCTTTAATATGACATTAAAATAAGATATCAACAAAACTGGATCATACAGGACTATCCTTCTTTCCAGAATGATAGACATTAGATATATTCGCCTAAAAAAATAGTATTTTTCTGACTCAAAAGTAAATAGAATTAGCTTTAAAAGACCTTAGAAGAATATTTCAAGTCAATCAATTCAGAGAAAAGACATAAACATTGGTAGTCATGTGATCAGACCAAATTATAATAGACCAATCATGTTGTTTCAACATTCAAATTTAAATTTCCCACTATAATAAACATTCCTAAGTGGCTCTAAGTTAAAGGTCAACCTGCTTAATTTATGCAGCTGTTGTGTTTTAGAGTTTCCCTCCCCAAGATTTTTTTTTATTTCAAATCTACATGGTGAAATAGGACTGCAAACTTTATTGAAGGGGGTATGCTTATTGAAAGCAATTACTAGTATTTTTCTCAATAGATGTCTCCCTCTCTCACTAAACAGGAACTTAGCAATCTTCAAAAAGTATCTTAATAATACGGTGATTTTACCTGAAAATTGCCGGTTTTTAAGACTTTATTTTAGAAAAATAAGAAACTGTATGGTAAGTAAACACTTTATCTTATGTTTTGAGAAGTTATAGCCTAAAAGCTGAAGTGAAAGAGGACGAAAAGTGCCAAAGAAAAAAAGTTTTATCACGGCAGCATTTCATTCTCAGCATTTTTTCAATTGAGAAGTTGAGTTGACGATCGTATAGAGATCTTCCCATAAACCAGGAAACTGTTTTCGTTACTTGGGCATGTTGCTAGGTAACGATTTGAGAAAATGAAGGAACGAATCGTTACTTCCGCAACGCTAATTTCGAACCCTGATTGTTGAATTGAACAAGCTTGATGACACCATTGTAACCAGCCCATCAATAGAACTCTTTAAGGTTCAGCTGGAAAGTAACATTTTGGTAAAAAATTGCTATACCGGCACATGTTATTTTCTGGTACAAAATTAAGTATGAAGGCATGTGTGTATTTCCTTGCTTTTTTCAGGAAAGTATCATTACACTGTCTACTTTTAGTAAACCTGGAAACAGGTCAATGATAGCTCCTGTGTTGTCTGGAAACTTTGAAAGAAAATTTGGAAAAATAGAAAGTGTGAAATATCAGAATTTCCTGGAGTTCGCATCGAACCCCTACCAGATATTCTAAAAGAAGACAATGTAATGATACATTCCTGGAAAAATCGAGGAAATTGATGCATGCCTTCATACTTTATTTTGTACCAGAAAATAACATGTGCAGGTATACTACTTTTTTTAAGGCCTGACTTCGTCGCTAACATGCTAAATATAAGAGTTAGCTGACGTTTGGGAGTCTGACTTACCTTCTAAAGGTTAGAACCCGAATTTTAATGAAACCATATCACCTTTGTTGCGTCGATGATGATGCATAAACATAGCATTTGATAGAAATTAGTGTAAATGCTTTTCCGACTTTTTCATTTTTCATCAATGTTGACTTCCAGGAAGGCGTTGTAGTTATCACGAAATAACGCATTGACCCTTGAACTTTACTTTGTTGACGTGTCAACCAAGCATGTCTGGTGTGAAAATTAAAAGAATATTAAGCAATGTTCTACATCCGCCAAGCTAAGTGAAGTAGCCAATATTTAAAATTACCAATTTCAAGTGAAGTACGCAACGAACGAAACTGCGTGATCTACAGTCCCACTATTTGTCTGAACGAAATGCTACGTAGAAATATGAGCCGTCTGCTGTATTAGTCGATTAATAGAGTAAGACCTGTTGGTGATGCTTTATAATTTAGACCAAAACATTGAAGAACATACGAACCTGTAAATCGTGAAAACAACGAACAAATATTCGGTTTTCATATATGTTCGGTAATTTTTCGTATTGAAACTTCCGGAACTTACAAGGAAATCATTGATTTTCTCGGTCCATGATTTACCTCTTGGATGTTGTGGCAAATGCTCCATGGTTGACGGAACAAAGGTGATATGGTTTCATTAAGATTCGGGTTCTAACCTTTAGAAGGTAAGTCAGACTCCCAAACGTCAGCTAACTCTTATATTTAGCATGTTAGCGACGAAGTCAGGCCTTGAAAAAAGTAGTAGTAATTTTTTACCAAAATGTTACTTTCCAGCTGTACCTTAAGGCGACGCTATATTAAATAATAAAAAGTACAAAAAATGACTGCCATATTTTTTTGATAAAGACACATGTTTTTAAAATATGTTTACCTTGTATATGAATTGTGTATCTTGACTAATGAAACATGTCAAAGTTAACATCACACATAAACGCATTTTTCCAAACTATGAATTGGAGGTGCATGGATCCCCAAAGCTAGCATGAAGAGTGTGAAGTGAGGCTATTTTTTGAAAGTTTCAAGGAGTAGCCTTGCAACAGTCACACATTTGCAAGAGTCTAAAATTTCCACAAATCATCTTACCTTTCCCAGGAACAACGAAGGAGCATGAAAATGTGCACTTCTTGAATTGTTAGAGTATAATAAAGCTCAAACCATTGTAAATTCTAAATATTTCATGTCCACATTTTGTTTGCCGGAACTACTTCTAGACTTCCTGATTAATCCTCATGCAAGTTTTGTGACTACACCAAGTGGCATGGATTATCACTTGTATGTTTTATCTATTACAGTGTAATTATCATGATAGATACATGATAGAGGCTTTATGAATGATAAACAATGGAAACATGAATGAAGATAACTCTGGACTAAAAAATAGTTCCAGGAAACAAAATGGTGGACATGAAATATTTAGAATTCACAATGGTTTGAGCTTTATTATACTCTAACAATGCAAGAAGTACACATTTTCGTGCTCCTTTGTTGTTCCTTGGTAAGGTAAGACTATATCTAGAAATTTTGAATTCTTGCAAATGTGTGTCTGTTGCAAGGCTACTCCTTGAAACTTTCAAAAAATAGCCTCACTTCGCACTCTTCATGCTAGCTTTTGGGAGCCATACACCTCCAATTAATAGTTATGAAAAATGCGTTTAAATGTGAGGTTTTCTTTTATGTGTCTCTTTAGTCAGGAAATGCATTCACATACAAGGAAAACAGTATACAAAATCTTCTGACTTTATCAAAAAATATGGCTCCCATGTTTTTGTACTTTTGATTAACTTAAATGTCACCTTAAGAAAGGACTATGTAATAAGGACTCATCCATTTAAAGTTACATAAATTATCCAGGTGATAAATATATTATGATTATGAATATGATTATGAAAATCAGGAAAAAAATATAAAAATAATGGGCGATAATATGTCATTATTCCTAACTTTTTAGTGTTAGAGAAGTATGGCATTCTCGAAGAATAAATATCATCGAACTGAATAAAAATTCACAATACCTGAAACTTCTTGGCTGATTTGGGAGCCATTTGAAAATGTTTTGAGGTGTTTATTTACGATTTTCTAAAACTTTCGAGCACGTGAAATTACATACGGAGTCAGTACGAAATTCAAAAACATTTTGACGTATATTATTTCTACTTGTTTGCGAAGATTACGAATCTAAACTATATTAATAAAATTTGCAATAATGTTAATCTTACATTATAAGATAAGGTAAACTAATGTCTTTAGTTTCAGTTGAGTTTTTGAAATACGAGTCGAGATTATTGAATAGACTGCCAAGTTTTAAAAGGATGCGCAATCAAAGTGCGCAAACGGTCTCACGTGCGAATCAACGAAGGTGGAAAGACGTAGAAAAGAGAGCTCTTGATACTTTACAATATTATTATATTTTTCTCATTAAATAACTTGACACACATACCAACATGAAGACAAAGACTGCAGCAAAGCAAGTTGTAAGTATTGTCCGAGGAGAGAACCAACCATAAGTATGTTTTGTTGTGAAAGTACTTGATCATTTTTTCACAGCCCGAGTGAAAGATTGAGACCACGTGGTAAATATCTCGGAAATTGGAATCCGTAACTTTTATAGTCTCTTTTCACCAATTTTTTTATTTCATCTTAAGTATTAACTGATAGTAGACTAGTCTAATGATACTCGCACTGTCAACGTGACGGATAAGAAGACTGTCTAGAGTCCAAACGTAAAGCTGTAGAATATCTAAAATGTTGCTATCTAGACTCTTTTTGTCATTTGAGTCGAAGAAAGTATTCTGAAGTTTCAAATTGGTGTCATATTTAATTTTTGGCATCCACCTAATGTATACCACTTACCTTTTATTGATTCTTTCATTAGTTTCGTCTGAGACTCAGTTTGACCAGAGTAATCTTTCACACCGCTTGAATTTTCTTGAAAATGGCTTTTTTCTTATCACCCGGATGTACGGTATACTTGGACTAGGGGTACCACGATACGAAAAATATTTTCTGCATTCCTCAATTACCCAAATGCGAGTAGGAAGTTACCAGTTTCACCACCAGGTGGCTGATTCGGGTCAATTAACATGGCAGGTATATAAGAAAGTTCCCTTAAACTTGAATATTATCAATTTAAGTGGCTCAATTTTCATATAACCCTTATGTGTCTGATACTTATACTCATGAAAATATGTCCAGTAAAGCAAAATATTATCTGTCCACTAAAAGAAAAGATATTTCATTTTTTGTGATTTTATAGCGTGGGGTCTATGGGGAATCTCCCCGAGCTAGAAGTCACATTTTCAAAGAAAATTAATTTTTCAAAGTTGATAAACACTTTTTAAAACCACATTTCTAGATGTAATTTTACATGTAGATTTTAAATATGATATTACTTTGACTGAATTTTGAATTTTTAATGACGTAAATCAAGATTATTTCTACTCGCATCTGGGTTATTGAGTCACATGTTATTTTTCAAACAAGAATAACTCCTTCCCCACATTGTCTACATCTTCCAGAATCCAGGTATGCACAAAGAGTGCACTTATGTGCCTAGAAAAGCCTTGTGAGAAGATTTGTTTTGTAAAATGTATAAAAAATGAGAAAATTCAGTGAAAAAATTCAGAAAATTTTTTCACTGAATTTTCTTGTTTTTTATACACTTTATCAAAACATTCTTCTCACAAGTCTTTTCTAGGTACATAAGAGCACTATTTGTGGAAACCTGGAAGATAATAGACTCTCCGGGGAAGGAGTGATTCTTGTTTGAAAAATAACATGTGACTCAATTGAGGAATGCAGGAAATTTCCCATCATGCACCCTGACCTTAAGGACAGGGTGCATGTTGGGAAATTTTCTGCATTCCTCAATTGAGTCACATGTTATTTTTCAAACAAGAATAACTCCTTCCCCAAATTGTCTACATCTTCAAAGTTTGCACAAAGAGTGCACTTATGTGCCTAGAAAAGACTTGTGAGAAGGATGTTTTGATAAAGTGTATAAAAAATGAGAAAATTCAGTGAAAAAAATTAAAATTTTCTGATTTTTTTCACTGAATTTTCTCATTTTTTATACATTTTACAAAACAAACCTTCTCACAAGGCTTTTCTAGGCACATAAGTGCACTCTTTGTGCAAAACTGGAAGATATAGACAATGTGGGGAAGGAGTGATTCTTGTTTGAAAAATAACATGTGACTCAATTGAGGAATGCAGAAAATTTCCCATCATGCACCCTGACCTTAAGGACATGTGCAATATTACCGAGTTTGAAGTTGCATAAGTTAGGCAGTGCATCATTTTGTAAGTACGACAATGTGAATTAATACGGCTGTTACTTTTTGGAAAGTTTTTTTGCAAAAAAGTCGAGTAACTTTTTAAATAGGTAATCTTGAATGAAGAGAAAGAAATAATTACATAAAAAAAGTTCTGAACGATGACAAATAGGCTAAAGCTCTCTTATTGATTGAATCTGATAATTATTATTTGACCAATACATAGCATTATTATGTCCCTGAAATGAGCTTGGAAAGCTGAGAGTTGCATAGGCTTTCTAGAAAGTTTATGGGAGAGGTCCGAGAAATGGTTACGATGTCCCAGTTACTTAATGTAGCGGTAGTAATAAATGTAAGTGATAATGAGTAAGAGAAACATTCCCTAGGCAACAGGGATGTTTCCAGAGGTGTTTTGAGGTGTTACGACATGGTTACGCAAGCATACAACCTTGGCAATAGGTTGTGTGATGTAATGAGTCTAACGTGTGAGGTAACTTTAGCTTGTTGGCGCCAACAGGCAAATGTCCGAGTTGTTTGGTTCCCCTAAGGCAACAGGGGAAGTAGATGTGGTGGCATCTTGATTTTCCACAGCCCTGGGAGGGTACATTTTACCTTGGTGTTTTGGGAACACCTCAATGAGCACCATTCATTCATTTATGGTCCAAATATGTATACCGTATGTAAACTTTTGGATCATAATTGTTTGGGTGATACTTATTTGCAGGGGTTTTTCAAATACTTTGGTGAGTTGTATTTGCCAATATCCAATATACCGGCACTTGTCCTGATGGATGTTGACTATTGACTACTGTAGTGGACAGAGAGATGATGGGTACTATCACAGGTGAGACTCCATATGGGTGTTGTCTGTCGATATATCAAGTCTGAAATTTATGATACACTCAGAAACGGCTTTGAAGGATGTTGTATGAATTGTCTTAAAAGTTGCATGATCATCTGATTGGTTGCTGTTTGTGCAGAATATTAGATCAGACTGCACTTTCTACCACTTGACCATGTGCTTTTTTCAGATGAACATAACTCATTCCTAACACGGCCTTAATCTTTTTTCATAGAATTCTGCTTTTGTGTACCCAGATATTTAATTGAGTGTTAATTATCCCATCAAACGAAGCTCGAAGGGATATAGGGAACGCCTCCGTCCATATGTATGTCCATCCGCGTAATAACTCAAATACCTTTGGCTCGATTTTGTACACATATACCCTATGAGAGTAGAAGTTCTGCTCGAAAGCCAATTTTCAAAATGGTGGCCATTTTAGTGCCGATTTTACAGTAATTTAGGTGGAATACGTGAAACTGAAATAGCAATATGTTTTAAGGATGCAGTACCAGGTCAGCGTAGAAAAAGTTGCAGACATTGAGATTTTGCTCAAATTTTTTACAATGTATCACTATGATGTTATCATCATCCAAGTGCAATATGAAGAGGATTGACCGTCTGGTAATTACAAAATAAAAAAATTATTTTTCCCACCCAAAATGAATCTTTTTACTTTTTTGAGTTTTCAATAGAGCTGGCACCTTTCGAACCATGGTTTTTGTATCCACTAATTGCGACTCTAAGAACAAGTTTTCCCATAAAAGTGAAAGGGATAAAATATGCTTGATAAAATGTTTGCAATTTAATTCTTTTCTGGAAACACCATTATCGAAATAAACTATAATTTTTGAATAAGACTAAATGCGAAAATGACGTTCTTAGGAGCTAGCTTTCTCAAACCGGAAGTCAAACCTGCGCAAACAGACGTGAATAAAAGTTATAAAGAGGGCAGTGCGATTAATTCAAAATACTTAATACTAAAAGTTGCTAGCTCTGAAACTTTCTAAACATGGTAAAATTAAGATGATCTTTCTAGAGTGTTTTTTCCAAATACTGATGATTATATTTTCTTATTTCACTTCAAATTGTTCTTTAAGGTTGACTTCATAATCTATTCTGGTCACGTTTTGAGTAGAATAAAAAGCTTTATGAATGGGATCAGAATCTCGAAAAGTAGTCGAGCGATTTTGTTTCATATTTGGTATGTGAATCCTATAAGCATGGCACACTGTCTCATGACACTTTTGGTAGAAGGCATTTTTTAGGTATTTTACTATAACTCGAAAAGTAGTGGAGCGATTTTGTTCATATTAGGTATGTGAATAGTGATTACTATAAGCATGGCACACTGGCTTATGACACTTTTGGTAGAAGATGGCTATTTTGAGAAATGGCCATTTTGCTATATACTTTGTTTGTAAAAATGCCAGCCATGGCTGTTCGATGGGATTTGCTACGCTTTGGCGTTGCTGTTGTCTAGTTTTTTTTTCTTTAGGATGCAATAACTAAAAGAAGAGCGTGGTATTTTTTGAAAAATTGCAAACATTTCTCATCATACAGATCTGCCTTAATGAAACATTTTTTAATGTATAACATTGTCCTTTGGCAATAGGCAAGTGTAACAATCATGGAGCCGAGGCAAAGTGTATCATGGTCTTTTTCTGATGCTGTTTCTATGTTGAATGTATGTAAAACTAGTAATTTAAAAGGAAGATGTCTGAACCTCATCATAACAGATACTCAAAATGATTGAGAAGAAGCCTTCAAATCATTTGGTCAATTTACCAAATGCACAGCTGTAGTCTTAGAAATGCACTGATTTATGAATTGCTTTATGTTTCAATTACACGTCCTTATTATTTGTAACGTTTTATGTTCAGAAAGCAAAAGTGACCAAGACGAAAAAGGCTAAGGCTGCTCCACCTCCTCCCAAGGAAAGCTCCAGTGAAGAAGAGTCCAGTAGTGAAGAGGAATCTGATGATGTAAGACATTCTGCTTATGTTACTATATGAACAAAATCAAAATACATGTACATCATTCAAGTTGTGCTGCTTAGCTTACTTAATTATACATGTTGGTTGGAAAGTAAATAATGATGAATTAAAGGTGAACTGGACTAGAGTCTCTGAATGACTTGGAGAAGAGAAAAGCCTTATTCTGAATTCTTAAGTAAAAACCAAATTAATTATTACTGAGAACAACACATTCAGCTGTTAAATAATCTGGTATCACTTTTAATTGGTTTTGCAGGCTGAGGCCCAGGTAGCAGTTACCAAGGCTATGGCCAAGACCAATGGAAAGGTTAATGGAAAAGTCAATGGAAAAGCAATTCCAAATGGAGTACCAGGGACCAACAGTGACTCTGATGACTCAGATGAAAGTGAAGAGAGTGAAGATGAGAGCATGGAGGAAGGTGAGCTGGTAGTTTTCTTATGAGCAACCGACAATTTTTTGTTTTCTTTATCACCACCAAAAAGTAATATTATGGTCTCCATTTTTGTGATGGTGTTTGGCATCTGGTTCCATGTACTTTTCTGAAATTATGATTGAATTGAATATCTGGTAGTGATAAATAATAATCGCTTACATAAATAAGAGACCGTGGAGTAAAATATTCATGATTGAAGTGCATTGTACATGTGTGACAGTTAATTATGAATGGATCCTTTCCACAGAAGAGACACCAGCCCCTGCTCCCAAGAGGAAGGCTGCTGCTAACACTGCCAAAGCACCACCTGCCAAGAAGCAAAAGTCGGATAGTGATGAGGAAGATAGTGATGATAATGAAGACAGTGATGATGAGGATGACAGCGAGGATGAGGAGGACAGTGATGAAGGTATTGATTTTCAATTGTAAACTGAAATTTGATCTTTCAGAATGAAATAAGTGATGATTCTTCTCATAACTGCTTGGAAATGATGACAGTTTTTTCCCCATCTGATCGATAGATGCAGATAACCATGCTATTTTAAGCCAAACTTTGTCTGATGCAAGCAAAAGCTTGAGAAAAACTTTACTCTGATCTAAATACTATGAACAGATAATGATAGTCTTTCTGAAAAAATGCTAACAAATTCTTATTTTGATTTGCTTTAAACAGAAGAAGAGGTCCCTGCTGTAAAGTCAAAAAAGACTGCACCAGCCAAAAAACCCGCAGCTGCAGAGGAAAGTGATGATGATGGTTAGTATTCTTTTATTACGGTCACCACTTTTGGTGGTATTTTGTTATCTTCCAAACTTTGTTGGCGGTTGGCATCTGTAACAAATTCTCACAACTTCTAATAACTTAACAAGTACTTGACTTCAAACTTTTACTATCTAGTGAACATATGAGTTCAAGCACATTTCTGCCAATATCTGTTACCATGGCAACACATTTTGTAACCATTTGCAGTAATTTAAAAGTAGTGTTTACATTGGACTAGAAATTTTTACCGTCAAACATATATAATATAGACATATTTCATCTTTCATCATAATTTTGGCAGTTTCACTTAACATATCAATGAATATATGTAATCATGGAAACAGAATAGTTTTAGTGACACCCCAAATGTAACCATTTTCATTAACTAACCTAGTGGTTCCATCTTCATGTTAATGCGTCTTGAAACATCTGAGAAGGGTAACAATTGCTTGGCCTTGACATTCATAATTTATTAATTAAGTATAACCAGTTATAATAATTATATGAATGAATCTTAAAAACAGCCGGTGTAAGTTCCATCAGCATTACAACAGAGGTTGTTTGGTGGGTCAAACTGAGAATCTGGGAATGTGTACCATGTTGTGTCCAGTGTAACGCAATCTTGCATACGAGAAAACGCAAACACTGCATATCCTGGGGAGTCAATAGGAAGCTCCGTCTTATCGTAAGCGCCTACACGCTCACACATATGGTCACCATAGGTTTCGCCCTAAAAAACATCCTCACAAATATAATTGAGAACCTGATACAAGTCGGGAGCTATATTGTAGTTAAAAGGTTGAAAACTAATCTGTTAAAAAAGGTACATATTTTGGAAGTTCTTGAAAACCAAGGAGAGTCTTCAAGGAGGATTGGCCTCCAGAATGCTATCTCAATATTTTCAACTATGGAGTCTTTGGAGTCTTGTTGTATTTCACAGACAAGTATACTTACTGTATGATTTGTGCCATCTTGAATAAGAGTGTAGAATGTATAGTTTCCATTTATCTCACTTATGATTTGTCTCCTACAGTATCGATCGCACACATTCAAGTCCCCATTATTACATAATAGACGCTCACCAAGGTTCACATAACCCCCTGTAAGGTTTTGTAGGTTAGGCTCTATTTCGTTTAAGAAACCATCTTCTCTGAACAATGCACACTCACACCTGAAATAACCCATTTTCTGTGACCCCTAATTATATAAATTCAGAGATCTGGGTATGTCAGTTGTAAAATATCAATCAGTTCTTCTCCCCCTTCAAAGTGTACCAACAACCTTAAAATAACACCCCTGACTAAACATTCATGTTATGCAGTCTGTGTATAATGTGGATATATGTCATCAGGGTAGAGTAAAATCTCCACCTTAAAACCCTTAGGGCTGCTTTAACACAACAGCCCTTTGGTGCCTGTCAGTGGAAATAATAATTTTGATAACGTTATTATGGAAATAATCGTTTTGATAGAATAAGAGATGCAAGAGAACATTTTAAATAAGCAGCAGTGATATTTTCCAAAATTACTTCTTACCATGTACATTTATTTCTAAGAATTTCCTAATAATTACGACAAATAAATTATAACTTCCAGCAAATTTGCCAGATGTCAGAACCCCCCCCGCTTTCAGCTTATATTCTTGAATCCAGTCCTACCAGTAAAGTGTGTTGTCCTCTTGTGCTTGAGTGTAGTCTCCTGCCTGTAGGATTAATGCAACAAATATTACCAACATGGCTGCAGCTGTGTTGAACTTGTGCAACTGAATGCCTAGATCTTATAACATGGTACTTGTGGTTTAACATTGTGGGAATCTACATATTTTTTGGACATCTATCGAAATATATAAATACATGTATATACTTGGTTCAGGTACTGCTTCAAATGGAGCACTAGTGAATACATGTGTGTACTGTGGGTGTTAATTTCTACATATGGTTTATTGTTCGTTCCAAATTTAATGCTTGAAGTCCCATTATGTACATAATGTATGCTCACCAAGGTTCACATAACGGGTTCTTTATCGTGTAAAAAACATATTTGAATAATGCACACTCCCACCTGAAATGACCAAAAAACATTTTCTATGACCCTTTAATTATTTTTAATAGGTCTGGGTATCTCAGTAAAATATCGAATAGTTCATCTTCATAGTGTATGAACAACCTTAAAATAACACCCCTGACTAAACATTCATGTTATGCAGTCTGTGTATAATGTGGATATATGTCATCAGGGTAGAGTAAAATCTCCACCTTAAAACCCTTAGGGCTGCTCTAACACAACAACCCTTTGGTGCCTGTCAGTGGAAATAATAATTTTGATAATGTTAATATGGAAATGACGCATATCTAAATATGAGATGCAATAGCAGGTTTTAAATAAGCAGCAGTTAATAAGTGATATTTCTGCCTAATACGATAATCAACTTTTAAAGATTAAGCAATTTCACAACAATGATAAATAGGTTCAGATTTCCAACTATTTCGCCAGTTGTCAGAAACTGGAATGTGTGAAGTAATCACTTAACTTAAATTTTTGTGTGTTTCTAGATGATGAAGAGGACAGTGATGAAGAGGAAGACAGTGAAGAGGAAGAATCTGACAGTGAAGAGGAGGAAGCCCCAGTAGAGAACAAATCAACAAAACGTAAGAAGGAAAAGGAGAGCAAAAAAGAGGCAAAGAAACAGAAAGTTGAAGAACCACAGGAAGGTATGTGGTAAATGCTATAGAACAATGGTGAAATAAACAATATTTTTGATAAAATAATTTCTTATTTTTAGTAATTTAAAACTAAGGATTCTATGCTTTAAATAACAAGTTATGCCCTGGCAGTCATTTAAAATATAGTAGGCCTCAGTAGTTAAAGAGAGAATCAGAGATAGCGAGCAAGCTAAACGAAAAATTGTTTCAATCTTAGAATATTTTTGGCTCATGTCATTACTTTGTCATGCCTATTTTCTAAAAATCACAAAAGTGCATACTTTATTCAAGGAAAACGAAAGATTTTTACAATAATGTATTATTTCTCTATAAGAATGGTTACCATTCTTATTTCTCTATAAGAATGGTTACCATTCTTATTATTTGGGAGAGTTTAAACATTTTTCACCCATTTTTGCACTTTGAATCATTAATAACTTCACCTATTTATAACATATTGTTGATCTTTTGGGAGATATTGTATTTGATATTGTAAGAAATAGATTGGTAGGTCAATTATGCAAATTGCTTGTAATTTTGTCACCCCCAATAGATCTGATTCTGCCTTTAATGTGTTAATGTATTATTCCTTCAGGTATCAATATATTCTGTGGCAATCTGAATGCAGACACAACAGAGGAAACCTTTAAGGAATTCTTTGAGGAAGCTGGTGTAAATAATATCATCCGAACATTCAAACGAGTAGGCAAAAAGTGAGTAACATTACACATGCAATTGGTGTTTCCTGTAATATTAATTGTAGCTTAAACAGTTGATGTATTTTCAGGATTTGCATAATTGTTGAATTTGCCTATACATATAAACAATTTAATAACATTATTTTTGTATTACCTGTAAAATAAACTAGTTACACCTTTTTATCCCAACGAACGAAGTTCAGTAGGGATATAGTGAAGCCGTCCGTCTGTCAGTCAGTCAGTCAGTCCGTCTGTCCAGAAGATAACTTGAATACTAGTCGACAGATTTTCTTCACATTTGGTGGAAAGATGTATATTGGTGAATAATTTTACGTAAAAAACAGGTATTTGCGTTAATTTTGAGATGTTTTTGAAGTATAGCTTTATTATACTCAAATGAAAGGCAATTTAGAGTAGATCGCAAACATTGTAGCGTTTTTATGATTCAGGCCTCAAAAAATTCAAAATGGTTGTCTAATGCGGGATTTCGCAATTATTTTCTGATCTTGTAAAAGTATGGCTATGTTATACTCAAATTGAAGGAATTTCAGAGTACATCACAAAATATTGCATTGTTTTCCTGATTTGTGCCTCTGAATATTCAAAATAGCTGACTAGAGCAGAAATTCGCCATTACTTAGAGTTATCTTGAAAGTATGGTGTACTACAATGGTCTAAAATATTTATTGAAGAGAAGAGTATGTGGTAAATATTACATTGTGACTGTACAGATTGATGATTTATATGGTGTTCATTAAGATTTGCTACTCCGTAGAGTTATCATTTTCTAGTTCCTTGATATTTTCAAACATGTTATTGTATTATTAAAATAACCATATAACATTGTCTACTGTTATAATTATGATCACGTTTTATTTCCTTAAGGTTTGGTTATCTTGAAGTATCCACTGAAGCAGACTATGATAAAGCTATGGAGAGCCAAGGACAAGAGATAGATGGAGCGCCAGTGTCCATGGAGAAAGCTAAGACAAAGAAAAAGGATGCAAAATCTGAAGTTCCTCTCAACAAAGATGAAAAAAGTAAGTTATTAATAGAGACTGAGTGGATTTCTTCAATTCTTTTTATTGGCTTACACAGTGTGCTTATGGGATCGACCAGGCGTCCGTCCGTCCATTGGTCCATCCGTCAACATTGGCCCGTCCGTCAACATTGGCTACACAAATTAAAACTTTTATTCGGATTGAGTTATTTCCACATTCATTTTATGCATATCCATAATGCCTATTTGACCTATCATCGTCATTTCCCAAGTTCGCCCGGTTTCCGAGAAATTGCTGATTTTAACGTCAAAAAGTCAAATTTTCTGTGAATACTAGACACTCTGTTGAAGTAGAACTTTCAAATAACTTGTAGTAGTTGCTGTATATGCAACTTGTTCTCTGAAGATTTCAAAGCTCTTGAAATTACAGTTTTTGGTTTTTACTCTATAACATTTGACAAAAAGTAGGACTTTTATCATTTTCAGGGAACTTTCTCATGTATAAAGTCAATCATCATTGGCTGCACAAATTAAAACTGCTATTCTTATTGAGTCACATTCATATTCATTTTATGCATATCCATATGCCTGTTTTGACCATTTCTCAAGTTCGCCTGGTTTCTGAGGAATTGCTGATTTTGACATCTAAAAGTCAAATTAATTGCCTAAATGAACAATTGACTAACTGAAACTGATAGGCAAATCTGACTTGAGAAACTGAGTACTGAGTAACTAAATAATCAATTTGAAAAATCAACTTTTGTTGGATGTAAATTTTGGTCACCTTAATCACAAGACCTACTGAGCTCTGAATAAGTAAAATGTTCAAGGTCAAAGGTCCTCAAACTAGGTCACAAACTGTGCTATCTTAAGTTTCTCAAAGTTCTAAACTACAAATCAAAATCAATAATTTTGTTTGAAAATCAGGATATACATTCCTCTGAAGGTTCTACATTGTGTGAGCACATTATCGTGTGTCCTTTATTTGGTGTCCGAAGTTTACTTTTCTGATGTATGTAAAACAAATAGGACAGACGTTAGCATACATTTCATTGTAATCTGCCTATAAAATGTATTAATCAGTTTCCAATATTTTCTCTTAAATGCATTGGATTTATGGTTTCAAGCTAGATGATGTTAAACCTACTGTTTCAACTGAATAATGAGGACAAATCACTCGCCGAACTGATAGCTTGATAACCCAGCTACTAACAAGTGGCTGAGTAGAATGTAAACTAAGCCTGAATATGAGTTGATAAGGTTGTTATTCATGCAAGTTTGTTTACTATTTCAGCCCTGTTTGTTAAGAATCTACCAGAAAATTGCACTATAGAAGAGCTTAAAGAACATTTTCCTGATGCCATAGAAATCCGTATTCCTGAGGATAAAATGACTGGTGATCCAAAGAGGTAGAATTTAAAACAATCTTAATCGCGAGGTCTGGGCAAAACTGATTTAGATGGAATAATTTTCAATATTTGCTTAATGAATATAAACTAAGTATTTTTACCTCACTCTTTCATCTGATCATGGAATTTCTTACTTTAGGTTTGGCTTCATCGACTTCAGCTCAGCTGCAGAAGTTAAAGAAGCAGTAAAAGATAAGCAAGGATCTGAGCTTAATGGTAGTGCCCTCTTTTTGGATACCATGGGAGGCAAGAAGGATGGCACCCCAAAGAAGGGAGCAAGAACTGGTACATATAAATAAGTATTTAGACAATCGACCTATATCTTGGTCACCACAACAAGCTAAACGATGATAAATCTACTGTTTCAACTGAATAATGAGGACAAATCACTCGCCGAACTGATAGCTTGATAGCAACCACTCTTTAAATGAGAGCTTGTAGCACTTGCTTGCTATGAAATCTAAAGGTTTATATGCATGTGCACAAGATAATCCAGCTCCATTGCATTATATATTCCCTATATATTACTATTACAGGTGGTGAACAAAGCAACACATTGTTTGTGAAGAACTTGAGCTTTGACACAACTCCAGAGAGTTTAAAGGAAGCCTTTGGGAGCTGTGTAGATGCAAGGGTATCCACAGATAGAGACACAGGCAGACCTAAAGGGTAAGTTGAAATAGTATATCCTAAGGAAAAGGACCGTTTTCTCAGGTTTTTGCTACATAGTAATCCTGTTGACACCACTCATCCTTGTTCATGTTGCAATGATGACAAAACTATTAGGACACCTTATGAGTTCTATGATTTCACAACTGTTACCTTATACTGAGCAACATGGACACAAAATGGTGCTTTGATCATTTTGATGATTTGCTATTCTCCTTCAAGTAGAGGAGCTAACAGAATATCGTAGAGAGTCTGATAAATCAAAGGAAGATGACCTAGTTCAGGAAATTTATTGTAAAATAAAAATCTTATCAAATAAATCATGTTGATATTATTTTTCTTACTTGTATAGGTTTGGTTTTGTTGAGTTTGCTAGTCCTGAAGATGCCAAGACAGCTCTAGATGAAAACAATGGTATCGAGGTTGATGGAAGAGAGGTCTCATTGGACTTTGCTACCCCCAAGGGTGGTGATAGACGAAGTGGCGGTTTTGGTGGTGGAAGTTTTGGTGGCGGAAGAGGAGGGCGAGGTGGCCGTGGAGGTAGAGGTGAGTTAACCCATAATGTAAATGAACATGTTTATTATTCAGACACTTAAATGATAAGTTGCTATGATGACAAAACTATTAGGACACCTTATGAGTTCTATGATTTCACAACCGTTACCTTATACTGAGCAACACCTGCATATACTAAAACACTTGTAATAATTATTTCTGTGCAAAATAATCAAACATAAGCTTCTTGTTACCTACGATTGGAAAATTGTGGATGATAGTGAAGCTACATTCACTGAATTCCTGCCACTCAATTGCATATACTTGGTACCTTGATCTTTTCTCCACCTGAATGTATTGTAATATTTCTTAACCTATTATATGTGTAATGTTTCATTCCCAGGAGGCGGCGGTGGTGGAGGTGGCTGCTTCAACTGTGGCGAAGATGGTCACTTTTCCAGGGAATGTCCCAATAAAAGTGGTGAGTGGAACGGCTTCAAGGATGAAATTTAATATCAGAATAAGCAAATCCATACAATTCAAGAATTAAAATGGCATATAAGCATATCATGATTGGTCAAGTGTAACCTTTGCCTGTCACCAGTAAACATGGATAAGTACCTTTCATCCTCAATTCTTAATCACATGAGAGGCTAAGCTTGGAAATGATGACAGTTTTTTCCCCATCTGATCGATAGATGCAGATAACCATGCTATATTAAGCCAAACTTTGTCTGATGCAAGCAACTCTCATTAATCAAATATTATTTCATGTCGGAATTCCCACACAAGCTTAATAAAGTACCCCCTTTCATCCTTAATTCTTAAACTTATGCATGTTGTTACTGTTTGATTGCAGGAGGCGGAGGAGGAGGCGGCAGTGGCTGCTTCAACTGTGGAGAAGATGGACATTTCTCCAGAGAGTGTCCCAACAAGAGTTCCGGAGGTGAGGAAACATTATTGCCGGAGAATCATTATTAAATTAAAGCTCTTGTTTAACCTATGATTAATAACACGAGAGGCTAAGCTTGGAAATGATGACAGTTTTTTCCCCATCTGATCGATAGATGCAGATAACCATGCTATTTTAAGCCAAACTTTGTCTGATGCAAGCAACTCTCTCAATAATCATATATTATTTTCCTTACTTGTGGTTAATTTTGAACAAGAATTGGCATTAATTCAGTTTATTTCAAGAATGTTCCTAGTTTCTGAATTTTTCATCCAGGAAGAGGAGGTCGTGGTGGTCGCGGTGGACGTGGTGGAGGCGGCGGTGGTGGTGGCTGCTTCAACTGTGGGGAAGATGGACATTTCTCCAGAGAGTGCCCGAACAAGAGTGGAGGAGGAGGTAAGCAATCAATCCAATGATGAAGCTCATTTATCTGGTTAATATGATAATAACTTTTCATGTAACTATTCACGTAAATTATAGAAAAATCATTTAATCTGGTGTTTTTCCAAAGAACAAGTGTGATTAAAACAAAGCAATGCTAGAATTACATGTATGAAAATCCATGATTCTTTTGCTGTGGTGATGACTTGTTCTAACAACAAACACCTTACAACAAATATATTTTAATCTCCTTTAAACCATCACATGAGTGTATTATAATATGCTTACTTTTAGACTTTTTTGTCAAGTAAACGATATGCTTTTTAATTATTAAATCTGTATTGCAGGTGGTATGAAGTGTTACAACTGTGGGGAGGATGGACATATGTCTAGAGACTGCTCTAAGCCAAAGACAGGAGGTGGAAATTGTTACAACTGTGGAGGAAGTGGTCACATGTCAAGAGATTGCACTGAACCACGAAAAGAAGGAGGTATGTGTTATTGCTGTTTCTGTACATTTATTGCATTCAATAATTCACACTAAGGATTTCACTTTAATTCTTTATACTACTCATGTTTCATAGTCTCAAGCAAACAGAATGTAAAATCTGGAATTTACAGACTGGCAAAGTGTGAAGCAGAAGATTCAGTTTAATCTTCTCACTGCTATTGTTCCATTTATTTACTGGTAATGCCCTACATGATGTATAAATCTGCAGACTCAAATAGAAACCCAAACTGAAGCTTTTCACACTCTGTCCTTCTAAATTAATTTAGAAATACACATTCACTATTAATTTTTAGACGTAAGTATATATTCTAGTCCATGTCACCACCACAAGAACATTTTTGTGGACTGTATCGCAGATGGTGACATTTTACATATTAATGCTTTGTTCATTTTCATGTACTTATGTCCGTTTTGTGTGTTATTGCAGGTGGTCGTGGTGGAGGTAGAGGAGGAGGCAGAGGTCGTGGTGGCAGCAGAGGAGGTGGTCGTGGACGAGGTGGATTCAGAGGAGGAAGAGGTGGAGTCACTCCACAAGGAAAGAAAACTACATTTGATGATTAAACATTCTACATTATATATTCTGTAAATAATATGAAATGGAACGAGCGGGTAAAATCTCAATCCAAGAACTGTACAGTTAGACAAACATGAGAACAGATTTTCACAAGTGACTGCCCTCTATGATGGGACCCAATGACACTTGCAGACTTGTGGGATTTACTAGTCTAAGCTTTGCTTGAGTTTGGTACAGGAGACATTGCTGGGGTTATTCCAGAAATATGACAAATTCAAGTCTTTAAGATCGGTGATCGGCATTGGGAAGAATTGTTAAATGCACTAAGTAAAATCAATTATTTGAAAGGGAATAAGTAACATATTTATTTTTATGTTGATAGTAAAAACCGAATATTTTTTGTTATACTGTAGCCTGTTGTTTGGTATTGGAATTGTTTATTGATTGATGCATACATGTGTGAAATGTAATTTTTATTATGAGTTTTATATTATTAAGAGAAGTAAGGTTTTGGAATGTGATATACATCTATATACATGAATATTTCTTTTATTGTATAGTATTGCTAATGCAAAACCCTACATTGTAATACATGTATGAGCCTGTCAAAACTATTATTGTTGTGTAAAAACTATTATTGTTGTTTCTTTAAACATGAAAAGAAATTAGATAAAAATAATAAAGCCAAAATTTTTCAATATTCAAAATTTTCTCATGCTTTTTGTTTTCTGTGAGCCCATGGGATTGACCAGGCGTCCGTCCGTCCATCCATCAACATTGGCAGCACAAATTAAAACTGCTATTCGGATTGAGTCATATCCACATTCATTTTATGCATAACCATAATGCCTATTTGACCTATCGTTGCAATTTTCCTAGTTCGCCCGGTTTCCCAGAAATTGCTGATTTTGACGTCAAAAAGTCAAAATTTCTGTAAATACTAGACACTTATGTTCTCTGAAGATTATAAAGCTCTTGAAATTACGGTTTTTGGTATTTACTCTATAAAATTCGACATAAAGTAGGACTTTGTCATTTTCAGGGAACTTTCTCCTGTATAAAGTCAATCATCATTGGCTGCACTGATCACAGGACCGGGGGTCCTTTATTAAAACTGTTTTCTTTCAAGTGAAGGAACCATGATGATAAAAATATCAATCGAACAATTCAGTCGTAAAATTATGCATAGGGACCCCATTTACTCAAAAGCGGATCCTCTTTTTATGATTTTTATTGCATGAAAAGATTATTCAACAAAGGGTGTAAAACATCTTCAAAAATATAATGGTAGTGAAAGTCTAGTTTTGAAGATATCAATTTTAGATGAGCAAAATGATGCTGAAAACATTGGATAGCACGAGTTTTCCCTATGGGAAATAACATGGGATATGTGGTTTTTAACTTTAACGCATTTAAATACGTATCCCCTTTTCAGAAATTGTTAATATAGTATAGACATGATAGAAGAAACTTTCGATACGTTTAAATTGAGAGAAACAAGGTCCTCTTTTTTGAAAATAAGCCTAATATTTTTTTTTAAAAAGTGCAAAGGTTGGGCCATAATCCATGATTTTTCAGAGAGTTGGATTTATATTTTACTATCATGGTGACTTCACTTAAAAGAAACCATATTGTTTAAAAACATTGTATTTATGGCCATTAATTACATGAAGTACTCATGATGAAAGATATGACTGCCTAAAATCACTTACCATACTGCACATGGACCTTTGTTATCAAATTTCACTCGTGAAAATATTACGTATGAAAAATCCTATTCAGTTTTGGATGGTTCTGTTTTTGGATCTGCTGCCAGTATGTCCAATTCAAGGTTAACACCTACCTTTGTTGACAAAACTGTAAAAGAAATTACTAACCCCTATTAGCTTGCCCCGGTTGTAGCCAGCTTTTACCAGGAGCGGGAGCTTTTTTCCAGGGGGGGGAGCTTTTTCACAATTTTGGCTAAAAATAATGCGAAAAATTCTCAGAATGGTGAAAAACTGCATGATTTTGAAAGAATTTCTGGCTTCCGCTCCCCCAGCTCCCACTCTGGCTACGGGCCTGATTAGAGATTTTACATTTTGGCATGCCATCTGATAACATGGTGAACAAACGTAATACCCGGAACGTTCGCAAATTGACGTTCGGTTTTTTACTGCAATTCCACAGACTGCTGGATTTAAGCACTTGCGCCAAGACCGAGCCAAAAAATGGAATCTCGCGCAGATTGCCTCAAGTGATCTCACGTGCGAATCTACAAAGAAACGTGGTTGTCCCGTGCCCGTGATATTGGAAGACGTAGAAAAGAGAACCCATACTTACTACGATTTTTCTAATAAGTTACGTGACAGACATACGATGAAGACAAAGACTGCAGCCAAGCAAGTTGTAAGTATTGTCCAAGCGAGATGATAAATGGGCTCTAGATCTACCATATTTAAGGTGAATGTGTAGAGTCAATACGTCCAAATCCAAACAGGGGGGTAAACACGAACGGGTTCCAAATAATGGCAAGCAGATCATTGAATTGAATAATAGTACCTCTACTACCTCTACATAATACTTATAGCCTGAAAGATACAATATAATGATGTATACCAACAATCTTACAATAAAATAATCAATTATGATGATTTAGGTGTTCGGAATTACCCCCATGCTAGTGTTTGGAATTACCCCCACAAACTCTGTGCGTTTAAATAAATAGATGTCAGTAATAAATGATTTAAATTTGGGTTTCTTGATATGCAGGGGTGACAGGATCCAGTATCATAAGTTAAGGGTATCATATAATGATATACCATCAATCTAATAATTAAAACAATTAAGTTTAAGTTAAGTGTTTGGAATTACCCCCATGCAAGTGTTCGGATTTACCCCCCAAAAAAACTCCTGTTCGGAATTACCCCCCTAAAATACCTTGTAGTAAAAATGGAATAACCCAGATATTTTTTACAATTTTTCGTAATTTTTTCTGCAAATGCATTCTACAGTGGATAATACACATAATATATATAGAATCATAGCATAGATGTGCAGTACAGCCAAGCTAACTACATTTTTTGATGGGGGTGTTTGGAAATAGACGTACTGACTCTACTTTCGGCCATTTTATTTTCATGCAGTCTTCACATGTTATTCTCAGATATAATTCCCCCTATCCCATCATTGTCTACATCTTTCAGTTTTTCACAAATAGCTCACTAACTACCTAGAATTGAGTATGGAGATTTTTTATCATATGCAGACTTAGAAGAAACGAGAAAATTCAGTGACCTACTTTTTAGGCAGACTTGTACTTTCGGCCATTTTGATGCAATCCTCAAAATCACATGTTAGGTTATTCTTTCCATTCAACATGAAAAAATTCCTATACCTGCAGTCTAGCGCATGTTATTTTCTTATACAAAATAAAGTATGAACTTTGAAGGCATGTGTGTATTTCCATGCTTTTTTTCAGGAAAGTATCCTTGCAATGTCTTCTTTTAGTAAACCTGGTAATAGTTCAATGGCAGCTCGAGGAAATGCTGATATTTCAAGAAAAATCATTCAAAATGGCCGCCTGTTCAATTTTCTTCTCCAAGTTTCTCAATAACCCCGGATTTCCGATGGCCAGCAAATTACTAGGTTTACTTAGAGAAGACAATGTAACAACACTTTCCTGAATTAAGGTGCCATGGAAGTTAACAGGAAAAAAAACAAAACAAAAAATGACAAAACCATGCTGGATTTTGAAATTTTTTTGTATCAAGATAACAGAGTTCTGTTTGGGCCTCCAGTCAGTTACTAGTTCCACATATCATTTACATGACCGGGAACACAATGGAAATGGTCAGAATGACCATAAATATGATGAAATAACCTTTTCAGCCCTCTGAAAATGTGACTGAAAAATAGCTAAAAGTAAAGGTCAATGAACAAAATCTTTTGATATTTCAGAAAATGTGTCCAATGTATTGCTCTAAATGATACAATCTTTGAAATTTTAAAGAATTGTCTGAAACAATAATGGCTGTCATGGGCGTAGCGCTATTTTTCTAAGTAGTATGCCACGACCACAGGAACAAGAGTTGAGTGAATCAAAAAACGAGCATTCGGGGGGGGGTTTGGGGGTTCTCCCCCACGAAAATTTTCATTCAACTTTGAAGTGTATTGTGGTATGATGGTCCCACAGTTACACAATCTAACAGTAGTAACAAATGTAAGTGATAGAGAAGAGTAAGAGAAGCATTCCCTTGCGATAGGGATGTTTCGGTGTTTTGAGGTGTTACAACATGGTTACGCAAGCATACAACCTTGGCAATAGGTTGTGTGATGTAATGAGTCTAACGTGTGAGGTAACTTTAGCTTGTTGGCGCCAACAGGCAAATGTCCGAGTTGTTTGGTTCCCCTAAGGCAACAGGGGAAGTATGAGATGTAGTGGCATCTGATTTTCCACAGCCCTGGGAGGGTACATTTTACCTTGGTGTTTGAGGAACACCTCAATGTTATCCTGTGCCAGAACAATGGTCCCGAGAACATCCAAATAGGTTGGCCATATGATTACAACCAGTGTATGCCCTAAGGATTCCAGAGCTGCTGGTCAAAAAGGCATTACTGACCAGTTGCAATGTTATTTTCCTATACCTAGTGAAAAAATCAACTGGTCAGTATCAAAAGTAACCACATAATGACCAGCTGTCCGACGCTTAAGGCGTGCCCTGATTACAACATCGGATAATTTTCCACACCTTTCACACTGATATGACTTAAAATTCTCCCATAAGTTGTCCATATGATGACAACATAGGAACATTTCCACAACTTTCACACTTAAATGACTTAAAATTCTCCCATATGTTGTCCATATGATTACAACATGGGGGAATTTTCCACACTTTCATACTTAAATGACTTAAACATCTCCAACATGTTGTCCATATGATTACAACATAGGAAAATTTCAACACCTTTCACACTTAAATGACTTAACATTCTCCCATATGTTGTCCATATGATTACAACATGGTCAAATTTTCCACAACGTTCACACTTAAATGACTTAATATTCTCCCACATGTTGTCCATATGATTACAACATGGTCAAATTTTCCACAACGTTCACACTTAAATGACTTAACATTCTCCCATATGTTGTCCATATGATTACAACATGGTCGAATTTTCCACAATGTTCACACTTAAATGACTTAAAATTCTCCCATATGTTGTCCATATGATTACAACATGGTCGAATTTTCCACAGCGTTCACACTTAAATGACTTAACATTCTCCCATATGTTGTCCATATGATTACCACATGGTCGAATTTTCCACAACGTTCACACTTAAATGACTTAAAATTCTCCCACATGTTGTCCATATGATTACAATATAGGAAAATTTCAACACTTAAATGACTTAAAATTCTCCCATATGTTGTCCATATGATTACCACATGGTCGAATTTTCCACAATGTTCACACTTAAATGACTTAAAATTCTCCCATATGTTGTCCATATGATTACAACATGGTCGAATTTTCCACAGCGTTCACACTTAAATGACTTAAAATTCTCCCATTAGTTGTCCATATGATTACAACATGGTCGAATTTTCCACAACTTTCACACTTATATGACTTAAAATTCTCTCATAAGTTGTCCATATGATAACAACATGGGAGAATATTCAAAACCTTTCACAATTAAATGACTTAAAATTCTCCCATTGGTTGTCTATTTGATTACAACATGGGGGAACTTCCCACACTTTCAAACTTAAATGACTGAAACATCTCCCATAAGTTGTCCATATGATTACAACATGGGGGAATTTTCCACACTTTTCACAGTTATGACTTAAAATTCTCCCATAGGTTGTCCATATGATTACAACATTGGAAATTTTTCCACACTTTCATACTTAAATGACTTAAACTTCTCCCATAAGTTGTCCATATGATAACAACATGGGAGAATATTCAACACCTTTCACAATTAAATGACTTAAAATTCTCCCATAGGTTGTCTATTTGATTACAACATGGGGGAATTTTCAAGACCTCTCACAATTAAATGACTTAAAATTCTCCCACAGGTTGTCCATTTGATTACAACATGGGGGAATTTCCCACACCTTTCTCACTTAAATGACTTAAAATTCTCCCATTAGTTGTCCATATGATTACAACATGGGGGAATTTTCCACACTTTTCACAGTTATGACTTAAAATTCTTCCATAAGTTGTCCATATGATAACAACATGGGAGAATTTTCAAAACATTTCACACTAATATGACTTAGAATTCTCCCATAGGTTATACATATGTTTACAACATCGGAGAATTTTTGCTTAATGTTTGGATGTTCTCAAAACTATTGTCCTGGCTCCAAATAACCTAAATGAGTACTATTCATTCATTTATGGTCCAACCCGTGATGGTTTTGGAGTTTGCTTTTTGGATCATAATTGTTTGGGTGCTACTGATTTGTAGGTGTTTCTCAAATACTTTGGTGAGTTGTATTTGCCAAGATTCAATATACCGGCACTTGTCCTGATGGATGTTGACTCTACCATTGGACAGCGATGATATGTACCATCTTAGGTGAGACTCCTTATAGGTTATGATACACTTAAAAACAGCTTTGAAGGATGTTGTGTGAATTGTCTTGTATTGAAATCTGATTACTGTTTGTGCTGAATAATGAAAGACTCTACCATATCATAATGATTATGACATGGTAGAGCTAGAGCTGTATCCTAGAGTGTATCATAGTCCTTGTTCTATGCTGTGTCTAAGTTGAATGCATGTGAAAGTATGTAGTATGTATTTTAAGCGAAGATGTCTGGATTTATCCCATTCCCTGACAATATTGTCCAGGGATGGATAAGTGTGAACCTCATCATAACAGATACTCAAATAGTCAAGATGACTAAGCCTACATTCCATTTGGAACAATTTACCAAATGAACCATTGAAGTCTTAGAATTGCACTGGTATATGAATTGCTATATGTCTCAGTCACATGTCCTTATTATCTGTAACATTTGTGTTCAGAAAGCAAACATGACAAAGGCGAAGAAGGCTAAGGCTGCTCCACCTCCACCCAAGGAAAGCTCCAGTGAAGAAGAGTCCAGTAGTGAAGAGGAATCTGATGATGTAAGACATTCTGTTTCTTATATGTTTCTTATATGAATGTTCTAGCTTTGTTTTCATGAATCATAATTTTGTCACCACCAAAAAGTGGTGACATGTTATAGTCCCCATTTTTTGTGACAGCGGTTGGTGGTTGGTGATCAGCGATCGGCGGTTGGTGTCTTTAACAAAGTTCCAATAACCTAACAAATACTGTTTAGACTGATATGACTTCAGTTTTTTCAAAATCATCTACAAGACCTTCTCAAGGTCAAAAAGGTTTTTTTCAACTTGCTTCAAATTGACCAATTTTTTTTCAAAATCATCTACAAGTTCTCAGAAGTTCAAATCCTCTGAGGGTCAAAAAAGGTCTATTTTAACTTGCTTCAAAGTTCAAAATCAGTTCTCAATAATATTGTGAACTAGGTGGTGACATTTTGTCATGTGGTTTTGCAGGCTGAGGCCCTGGTAGCGGTTACCAAGGCTATGGGCAAGACCAATGGAAAAGCAATTCCAAATGGAGTACCAGGGACCAACAGTGACTCTGATGATTCAGACGACTCAGATGAAAGTGAAGATGAGAGCATGGAGGAAGGTGAGCTGGAAAAGTTTGTTATGGTGTATTGGATCCACAGATTATTTTTATAAGAAACGGGCGATTTATCCAATCTTGGTTTTTGGTGTTTGATGTGTATTTGTCTGAAATTAACTCTGGGAGTGACAAACAGATAAATGTGAATCACATGCAGATATAAGTCTGAGTAAATGCAATGTAAAGCCTTCATGAATGAAGTGCATTGTACATGAGTGACAGTCAATACAAATGAATCTTTTCCACAGAAGAGACACCAGCCCCTGCTCCCAAGAGGAAGGCTGCTGCAAACACTGCCAAAGCACCACCTGCCAAGAAGCAAAAGTCGGATAGTGATGAGGAAGATAGTGATGATAATGAAGACGATGATGATAGCGAGGATGAGGATGACAGTGATGAAGGTATTGATTCTCAATTTGAATCTGTAATTTGATTTTTCTGAATGAAATAAGAAAATTATGATTGCATGACACTTCTCTATTAAATCATACACTTAGATAACTACTTGGATGTGATAAACACTTTTTTCCCCATCTGATCGATAGATGCAGATAACCATGCTATTTAAGCCAAACTTTGTTTGATTCAAGCAAAAAGTTGAGAATGATCTTACTCTGATACATGAATACTGTGAACAGATTGTGATAGTCTTTCTGTGAAAAGAATGTGATAGTCTTTCTGTGAAAAGAATGCAAACAAAGTTTGAGGAAAGGTATATAGGAAAGCCATCCATCCATTCGTCCATCCGTTCGTCTGTCCATCCGTCTGTCCGTTTGCCCGGTGATAACTCAAATACAAATACTTAACGGATTTGATTCAAATTTTATAGGCTTATGCCTTATGGGGGTAGAATCTCTGCTCGAGAAGGAATTTTCAATATGGCTGCATAATTCAAAATGACGCCATTTTTCATAAAAAAATATAATCTTTGATAACTCCAATACTAGTTGGATTTGGTTCAAATTGTATATGCTGATGCCTAGGGACAAAGGAGCTATACACTGAAGAAGAGATTTTCAAAATGGCTGCTAAATATCAAAATGGCGGTCATTTTTCATAAAAAAACGTAATCTTTGATAACTCAAATAGCACTGAATGGGTTCAAATTAAAGATGCCTAGGGACAAAGTAGATTTTTCAAGAAAGAATTTTCATTCAAGTTGGCGACTGAATTTCAAAATGGCCACCATTTTTCATAAAAAACGTAATCTTTGATAACTCAAATACCATCTATCGTTGATGAATTTGGTTCAGATTTTATATGCCGATGCTTAGGGACAAAGGAGCTACACTGAAGAAGAGATTTTTAGAATGGCTGCTCAATATCAAAATGGCGGCCATTTTTCGTAAAAAACGTTATCTTTGATAACTCAAGTATCAGTGAACAGATTTTGATCAAATTTTATATGATGATGCCGAGAGACACAATTGCTGGAATTACACCTGAAAAAAACGCTAAAAGCGCTTTAGTGAAAAGCGCTTTAGTGGAAAGGGCTTTACAAAATCGCCATCCTGATTACACCATCATTTCTGAAGCGCCTTAGGAATTTTATTTTGAAATTACACCTGTCATTTCTAAAATGCCTTTCGTGCACTTTAATGATGTAGATATTGAGAATATCCATTAGATGTGTACATCTACAATAAATGTATTCATTTAGCATCTAGGAAAAACGTAACTGAGTCTTTTGCCGGTGATGTGAACTTAATATCAATTTTTGCAATATAATTTGATGACCTATTGCATTTTGTGGGTCTCATCCATCATTTACTGTATTTTTACGGTGGCCCAAATGTGAAGCATTCGAAAAACATCTTATTTCATTTAGGGCAAATGGTAAAAACCCAGGTAAGGCGTTTTACAAAAACCGATCGGTATTACACTACACTCCAAAAGCGCATAACGATTTAAGGCGTTTTTTAGTGACTAGGGTTCTAGGAGTTTTGGAAAACCGCTTTTGTAAATCCACAATCGTGATTACACCTATTTTTCAAACCAGGTTAAAACTTTAGGCGTCTTTCTAAAACACATGGTGTAATTCCAGCAAATACCTCTGTTTGTCAAAGAATTTTCAAGAAGGCTGCTAAATCTTAAAATGGCCTCCATTTTTCATTAAAAAAATATAATCTTTGATAACTCAAATAGCAGTAAATGGATTTTGTTCAAATTTTATGTGCTGATGCTTAGGAACACAGTAGCTCTGTTTGAGAAAGATTTTCAAAATGGCTGCCATTTTTCGTAAAGAAATGTAATCTTTGATAACTCAAATGCTAATTTATGGATATGGTTTACATATTATACGTATGTTGATGCCTGTGGGACAAACAAGATGGCAACTAATGATCAAAAAATATGTTTTGTTTGGTGGGGATTGCTACTCCATGGAGTTGCTGTTTTTCTAGTTTTGATTTTCTTTCAACAGAAGAAGAGGTCCCTGCTGTAAAGACAAAAAATACCAAGGCTGCACCAGCCAAAAAACCCGCAGCTGCAGAGGACAGTGATGATGGTAAGTATTTTTTGATCTGTGTAAGCATACATAGATTTTAAGTATTAATAGACTTCTGTATGAAAGAGGTCACAATTTTTCACAATTTTCAATGCTGTTTATTGACACAAAGTGGTTCCATTATAGTTTATGTATGCATTTAATCATTTGTGACAGGCATAAGTGTCAGCATTTGGTGTCTGTAACAAATGGTTGCAATTTTCGCGAATCATGGGAAGAACCAACACAATGCCCCACAAAGCTCGTTGACTGTGCTCACTTGTACACACACAAAATACCCATGTTACGCCGCTGCTGCTGTGACAGAATTATAATGATAACCCTTCCAATTTTTTTTTCTACCCTTCCCCCAATTTGATAAGGTCACTTTTTATCCCATCGAACGAAGTACGGAGGGATATAGGGACACCTCCATCCGTAAGTACGTCCGTTCGTCCGTCCGTCCGTCTATCCGTCCGTCCGGGCAATAACTCAAATACCGTTGGCCCGATTTTGTTCATATTTTGTACACATATACCCTATGGGGGTAGAAGTTCTGCTCGAAAGCCGATTTTCAAAATGGCTGCTCATTTCAAAATGGCGGCCATTTAAGTGCCGATTTTACAGTAATTTAGGTGCAATATGTAAAACTGTAATAGCAATATGTTTTAAATGTAAAAACATTATGAAGGACATTAATAAAGGTACAAATGTTGATATTAAAGAAGCACATGGCAGCCATCTTGAAAAATGGCGGCCTTTACTCGTTATTTTACGATTTTTGCTGTAACTCGAAAAGTAGTGGAGCGATTTTGTTCATATTTGGTATGTGAATACTATAAGCATTGCAAACTGTCTAAAGACACTTTTGGTAGAAGGCGGCCATTTTGAAAAATGGCCGCCATTTTAACGTATTTTACTATAACTCGAAAAGTAGTGGATCGATTTTGTTCATATTTGGTATGTGAATACTATAAGCATGGCACACTGTCTAAAGACACTTTTGGTAGAAAGTGGCCATTTTGAAAAATGGCCGCCATTTTAACGTATTTTACTATATGTTATGTTATTTTATTTACCATCTACAAGATTTACCATCTACAAGATGAGTACATAACTTGAGTACATATAACTTGAAAAGTAGTTCAGCGATTTTGTTCATATTTAGTATGTTTCATATTTTATATGTGAATACTATAAGCATGGCACACTGTCTAATGACACTTTTGGTAGTAGGTGGCGCCTTTTTGAAAAATGGCCACCATTTTTACGTTTTTTACTATAACTTGAAAAGTAGTGAAGCGATTTTGTTCATATTTGATATGTGAATACTCATGAGCCTTGCACACTGTCTCATGACACTTCAGATAGTAAGCGGCCATTTTATAAAAATGGCTGTCATTTTTACTATAACTCGAAAAGTAGTTGAGCGATTTTGTTCATATTTGATACGTGAATACTTTAAGCATGGCACATTGTCTAATAAAACTTTGGGGAGTAGTCAGCCATTATGAAAAATGGCCACCAATTTTATGTGTGTTATTTTACAAGTACATGTATGCGATTTTTCAAAAAATTTATAGGTGGCTACTTATAAGCATATTATTTCTTCTGATGACAACTTGTCTATTGAGCAACCATTTTGAAAATGGTGGCCTTTCTGGTGTGTTGTTTTATGCTGTTTGCTATATATTTCGTTGGTAAAAATGCCAGCCATTTCTGTTCAATGGGATTCGCTACGCTTTGGCGTTGCCGTTGTTCTGGTTCTTGTTCTTAATGGCTCATGGATTGACGGATTGTTGATATGAAAGATATTGCAATCATGTTTTAAAACTAAATCGTGAACCCTGCATTATTAAAGCAATTCTGAGCGATAGGAATAACAAAATATGGCTTCTGGGATGAGATCAAATGACTTTGACATAATCTTACCCAACCTATTATGTAATTTAACAATCAACACAAGTATACATGCCATATTTAAGCAAATATCGAACAAACCAGAGGTGTGTTCTCTGACGTCGGTGTGGAAATATTTCAATTTTTAAAAATTTTGTCATGGATTCGTGGATTCTTCAAATGCTTACTATGATTCTTATTAAATGATCTTCAAATGCTTACTGTGATTTTTTTTATTATGTCACCACCAAGAAGTGGTGACATATTGTTATGGTCTCCATTTCTTGTGGTGCCGGTTGGTTGGTGGGTATCGGCAGGTGGCGGTTGGCTTCTGTAAAAAATTCTTAAAAACTTCCAATAACTTAAATATAGAAAACGTTTTAAATTGGCTATGCTGCATTCTGATTCAATTCAATTAGAGCACGGTCGTGTTGGGCAATTCTTTGATTGGTCCTGAATTTAATGCTTCTGGCAACAAAAGACATGTTTAATGTATCCTTTTATAATGTGTTAAGTAATTGCTAAACATAGATGTTTTATATGTTCCTAGATGATGAAGAAGATGATGATGAAGATGAAGACAGTGACAACAGTGAAGAGGAAGAAGAAGAATCTGACAGCGAAGAGGAAGAATCCGGCAATGAAGAGGAGGAAGCCCCAGTAGAGAACAAATCAACAAAACGTAAGAAGGAAAAGGAGAGCAAAAAAGAGGCAAAGAAACAGAAGGTTGAAGAAACACAGGAAGGTACATGATTGAACAATAATCAAATGAATAGTCATATTTCTGATAAATGATTCTTATTTTTGTCTCTCCGAAGAAATGTTATTAGATGATGGCTAGGGACAAAGTAGATTTGTTCAAGAAAGAATTTTCAAGATGGCGGCTGAATTTCAAAATGGCTGCCATTTTTCATAAAAAATGTAATCTTTAATAACTCAAATACAAAGGAGCTACACTGAAGAGATTTTTAGATTGGCTGCTAAATATCAAAATGGCGGCCATTTTTGTAAAAAATGTAATCTTTGATAACTCAAATACGAGTGATGGATTTGGATCAAATTTTATCTGATGATGCCTAGAGACACAGAATTTTCAAGATGGCAGTTGAATTTTAAAATGGCCGCCATTTTTCTTCAAAAATGTAATCTTTGATAACTCAAATAGCATTGAATGGATTTTATATGCTGATAGGGACACAGTAGCTCTGTTTGTAATAATCAAACTATGTTTTGTTCGGTGGGATTTGCTACTCCACGGAGTTGCTGTTTTTCTCGTTAAATATGGGTGTAGGACTTCAGGCCCGTAGCCAGGATTTGCTAAGGGGGGGTTCCTTTTTCAAAATTTTCCAGGGGGGGTTCACATTTGACAATTTTGGCCCAAATATGGCTAAAATCACTTGAGAAGTGCTCAAAATGGTGAAAAACTGCATGATTTTGAAAGAATTTTTGGCCAGGGGGGGTTCGCCCGAACCCTGCGAACCCCCCTGGCTACGGGCCTGGACTTCTGCTCGAGAAGGAATTTTCAATATGGTCACTCAGTTCAAAATGGCTGCCTTTTTTGTAAATCATGTTATCTTTGATGAATCAGATATCAGCGGATTGATTTGGCTCATATTTTATATGTTGACATTGATAAAGGAGCTCAGTGCTTAAGAAGTTCTCAAGATGGCTGCTATTTATCAAAATATGTTTTGTTCATTGGGATTCGCTGTTTTCTTGTTTGACAATGAAAACTAAAAGATTGTGTGCTTCAAATGACAAAAATATGCCCTTGCAGAGTCATTCAAAATGACAGTTGTAACATTAATATGTTCTTTTTTTATAATTCCAGGCATCAGTATATACTGTGGCAATCTGAATGCAGACACAACAGAGGAAACCTTGAAGGAATTCTTTGAGGAAGCTGGTGTTAATAATATTGTCAGAACATTCAAACGAACAGGCAAAAAGTAAGTTAGATAAAACTAGAAACTATTTATTCCTGTTTACTGTATTATTTATTGTAGATAAAGGGTGGAATATGTATTTTCAATATACATGTTGGCTCAGTTATGGCAGCCATTTTGAATGTTTTTAGAAAATTCAGTGAGTGATAATATTTTGTATAACAGAAAGCAATAAGCTGACATATATTATTTTTTACATTTTCATACAACTGACAAGATAATAAATGTTTTAATATAAAGTTGACGTAGTTATAAATGTTTTTTAAGTGTAAAATCAAAGCACAACCATATAATTAAAAATAAAATAAAAATTATGCTGGGATTCGATCCAGGGACTTCCGTGTTCTAGGCGAGCATTATACCAATCTCTTGTCTTGTGTATGTGTTTCCTGCCAACCATTTGATATATCAATATCAAATGTTCAGGAATGATTTTTCATTTGAAAATCTCGATCTGATTAGGTTTTGGGCATTGTGGGTAAATGTGAAGGTAGTCTGAACTGTCTGAAGGATTCATAGCAAATAGGATAGTTTCTAAATAGCAGAAAAATCAATGAAATCTCGTGCTGCCATCTTTTATTCAGCTTTTAACTCTGGCTAGAGCTCCATTCACTTACATGCTAAAATCTTGGAAAAGTGGCTTAATTTCATGATTTATCAAAGTGTGTTTGTTGAATCTGTATAAAACTTGAATGATATACCACATGATGACCCTGTTTATGAACATGTTGTGATTAAACATGCTAATGTTGATTGACATACAAATAATCCACGGTTTTAAAGAATTTTAGCATTGCATCTATGGACATTTGGCCCAACTTTTTTTAAATTGTCATAGAAAATTATTCAAATTACATGACTGTGTAAATCAAAGCTATTTTAGGAGAAATCAGTGTCCCACTGAATTCAAATATACCATTTAAAAGAAGGTAATGTAAGTCATTAGAGGTCTAATATGCAAGTCTCTTAAAATCTCACGAAAAACGAGATTTAGCGAGATTTCAAAAGCTATATGGAAACTATACTATTCCCAGGTTTGAATTTTTATTGTATGAAAATCAAGAACTGGATTTTTTTCATGCTTGGTAAATGCTAAGTAAATAAAATCTCTGTAAACATGTGTCTCTTGTCTACATGTTTCCCATCGATGGATCTATTTCAAATTTTTAGGGATGATTATTAATTAGTTTTTTGTCATGCCTTTATCTTCTCAATGTGTATCCAGGCAAACCATTTTTTCAAATTTTCATGAACGACTTTTTGTCCTAAAATCTTGTCTCCTCAACTGATCCATGATGAAAAATCTAAGCCATTGGTTACATGTTGTACATAGTTTGTGTCCTTGTTTACTTTAGGTTCGGTTACGTTGAAGTATCCACTGAAGCAGACTATGATAAAGCCATGGAGTGCCAAGGACAAGAGATAGATGGAGCGCCAGTGTCCATGGAGAAAGCTAAGGCAAAGAAAAAGGAAAGCAAGTCTGAACTTCATCTCAACAAAGATGAAAAAAGTAAGATATTATTAGAGAATGAGTGACTCATATTAAATATCCTGGTACTTATACTTTTGTTCAGTCTACTTTTTTGTTTTCAAAACTTACAAATGGGGGACTTTACCTCAAGATTACACTATATGGCTATTAAAACACATACCTGTGAATCTTACAATTCAAACGTCTGTATTCAAGAATTTACCTTGTTGATATGTATAGCATAATTATTTTCAGTGTAATCGGTCATAAATCGCTTTGCAATATTTTCTGATTAATGTATAGGGTTTATTGTTTCAAGAGAGATGATGATAAAAAACTACTGTTTCAACTGAATAATGAGGACAAACCACTCACTGAACTGATAGTTCGATACTGGCTAACCAACTAGTGTCTGATCGAGCATGGTGTGAACTTAATGTGGTTGTTATTTATGCAAGTTTGTTGACTTATTTCAGCCCTGTTTGTTAAGAATCTACCTGAAAATTGCACGAAAGAGGAGCTTAAAGAACTTTTCCCTGGTGCCGTAGAAATCCGTATTCCTGTGGATAGAGTAACTGGGGATCAGAAGAGGTAAGAATTCAAATTTCTTGATGTCATGAACCGAATTATGATAATTTTTTAATGGTTATTATTAAGAAGAATAAAAACTGATGTTACACTTACCATATCATTTCTTTTTTTAGGTTTGGCTTCATTGACTTAAGCTCAGCTGCAGAAGTTAAAGAAGCAGTAAAAGATAAGCAAGGGTCTGAGCTTAATGGTAGTGCCCTCTTCTTGGATACCATGGGAGGCAAGAAGGATGGCACCCCCAAGAAGGGAGCAAGAACTGGTACATACTAATAAGTATTTAGACGCTCAAATCATTAAAGCAAATCATATGCTAGGTCACTACAACAAGCTAGATGATGATAAATCTACTGTTTGAAATCAACTGTCAGGAATAATGTGGACAAATCACTCGCCGAACTAACACATGTAGCTTGATAACAAAACCACTTTCTAACTAAATACTTCTAGCATAGCACATGCTTGCTATTACAACATCTTGAAATTTATATGCATATGTACAAGTAAAAAACTTGCACCTCCAATGCATAATATACTATTGTTTTAATTATTGCAGGTGGTGAACAAAGCAACACATTGTTTGTGAGGAACTTGAGCTATGACACAACTCCAGAGAGTTTAAAGGAAGCCTTTGAGAGCTGTGTAGATGCAAGGGTATCCACAGATAGAGAAACTGGCAAACCTAAAGGGTAAGATGAAACCTTACATTGATTTTTCAGGTTTTACATGGTGAGCTTGATAACATCATTCATTTGTCTGTCAAAAGAAAATGAAACCTTAAATAATCATACCATGTGAGCCCACCAAATAGTGCCATTTTGGTGCCACAACAGTGCCAAATCCTAATTGTCTCAGGCATTCATCACTTTGACAGGATGCACACAGATTTTCAATGGGGCTTAAAGCTTGGTTTCTCTTATGCTGGAGGAGATCCCTGGTGTCTATATTAATCCTATTTGACAATTCATGTTTCTATGATGAGAAATTTATAAGGACATTTAAGTTTTATAATTTCACAACTGTTACTTTATACAAAACAACATGAACACAAATGATGCAAGACTGACACTTGTGGTAATCTCTCCTTCAAGGTAGAGGATATCCTGGATATCGAAGAGAGGGTCCACGTGGGTCAGATTAATTAAGATCTAGACTATCTACTGTAGTTCAGGAAATACTGTTGTAAAATGTGGTAACTACTATCTAAACAAATCATGTTTTATTTTTTCTTGCTTGCACAGGTTTGGTTTTATTGACTTTGCTAGTCCTGAAGATGCCAAGACCGCTCTGGATGAAAACAATGGTATTGAGGTAGATGGAAGAGCGGTGACTTTGGACTTTGCTACCCCTAAGGGTGGTGATAGACGAAGTGGGAGTTTCGGTGGCGGAAGAGGGGGGCAAGGTGGCCGTGGAGGTAGAGGTGAGTTGAGCCATAATGTACATGAACATCACAATAATTGTATGCACATAAATAAAAGTTGCAATGATGACAAAACTATTAGGACACCTTATGATTTCACAACTTACTTATACCGAACAACTCCAGCATAAATTAATTACATGTATTTCTCCCAACACACAAAGTTCGGTATGGATATAGTGAAGCCCATTTGCAGTCTGTCCATCTGGAAGATAAATTGTATACTAGTGGATGGATTTTCTTATTTGTTTGAGAGATTTACACCACAAAGATTTCAGGATGGCCAGGGGGGATTTAAATGCAAAAATGTGAAGTTTTTCATTTTAAACCAAAGTAATAATCAATATTATTGTTGACTTTTGGTTGTTTATTTCCAAACATTCCTTCATATATATTTTCTTTCTATAATTAGTTCAGACATGCTCATTGACTTTTAGATGTCACTTAGTATATATTCTAGTTCATGTTCCTTGTGTCAGTTTTGTGTGCTATTGCATAGCCCCTTGCTTGCTACTATGAAATCTAAATGTTTATATGCATGTGCACAAGATAATCCAGCTCCATTGCATTATATATTCCCTATATATTACTTTTACAGGTGGTGAACAAAGCAACACATTGTTTGTGAAGAACTTGAACTTTGACACAACTCCAGATAGTTTAAAGGGAGCCTTTGAGAGCTGTGTAGATGCACGAATATCAACAGATAGAGACACAGGCAAGCCTAAAGGGTACGTTGTAACAGAATTGAGTTAAAGCCTTATATGGATTGTTTTGGCCCACATGGTGAGGCAGGTAACACCATTCATTTGTCTGTCAAAAGAGACATAAAACCGCAGGTAATCTGACTATGTGAGCATTAAAGGCTTAGAGCTTTGTTATCTTAAAGAACGAAGTTTGGTAGGGATATAGTGAAGTCCCACCAATGTGCAGTCTTAAGTCTGTAGACCCTGTAGAAAGGAAAATTACTAACATCATGTTCGAACACAAGACAATTAAAAAAAATGAAAAAACGAATGGAGACACTGATGCAGCAACAACAAATGACATCCGTCAGGACATCCGGAAGAATACTCGAATACTAGTGGACAGATTTTCACATATGATGGAATGATGTATATTGGTGAATAGTTGTTACGCAACAAAAAGTTTTTAAGATGGCCATGCTTTGAATTGTAAAAATTTTTCGAGAAAATCTTAAGGTCTTCATTTTAAACAAAAGTAATAAATATTATTGTTTGAAATTTTGGGAGTAAATTCACAACGTCTATCTATTTCACAATAATTCCATGTTTTTCACTGTGACCCTCAATCAAAATGTAGATAACACAGTTTAGGAAATAATGTTGGAAAATGTTGCAACTACTGTAGTAACTAAACAAAATATATGTTTAATGTTTCTTGCTTGTATAGGTTTGGTTTCATTGAGTTTGCTAGTCCTGAAGATGCCAAGACAGCTATGGATGAAAACAATGGTATTGAGGTAGATGGAAGAGAGGTCTTGTTGGACTTTGCTACCCCCAAGGGTGGTGATAGACGAAGTGGCGGTTTTGGTGGCGGAAGAGGTGGGCAAGGTGGCCGTGGAGGTAGAGGTGAGTTAACCCATAATGTAATTATTCAGACATTTAAATAAAAGTTGCTATGATGACAAAACTATTAGGACACCTTATGAGTTCTATGATTTCACAACTGTTACCTTATACTGAGCAACACCTTCATATTTAACTAATTATTAATGATCCTAATCAACGAAGTTCAGTTGGGATATAGTGAAGCCCTCTGTCTCCAGAAGATAACCGGAATACTAGTGGGTGGATATTAGCTAGTATATAGCTTTCAAGATGGCCACCGCTTTAAAATAGCAGGAAATTTACACAATAAATAATTTTTCATTTTAAACCATTGTAATCAATATTATACTGTTTGAAATTTTGGTAGTAAATTCATAACATTCACAATATATTCTGTGTTTTGTCCCTCAAAATAATTTTGTAATGCACATTAACTATTGAATTTTAGATGTCACTTGGTATATTCTAGTTCATGTTCCTCATATTGCAGATGGTCATGGAGGAGATAGAGGTAGTGGAAGAGGCAGAGGTCGTGGTGGCAGCAGAGGAGGTGGTCGTGGACGAGGAGGATTCGGGGGTGGAAGAGGCGCAGGAACCCCAGGAAAGAAAACCAAATTTAATGATTAAACATTTTACAATATATATTCTGTAAATGATACTAAATGGAACGAGTGGGTAGTGTATCAATCCAAGAAGTGTAGAGTTTTAGAAAAAGATGAGAACACCTATCCACAAGTGATTGCCGTCAATAATGAGACCTAATGACACTAAGTGGATTTACAAGTCTAAGCTTTGCTAGAGTTTGATACAAGAGAGAAGACATTGCCAGGGCTATTCCAGAAATATGATGTTAAAGGCATAAAGGCATATTCAACCCTAGGCTAGTCTTTTAACTGATGACAATAGGATGAATAGATACTGAGGGAGGAAACGGTTAAAATCTTGAGTAAATATTTGAAAAGGAATAAGCAACAAATTATATTTTTTATTATGTTGTTGTTTGGTATTGTAACTGTTTATTGATAAATGGATATACATACGGTATGTCACTTATACATATTCTCTTATTCATGAATATTTTTTATCGCATCGGGAATGCAAAACCTTGGATATAATCACACATGTTTGAGATTGTAAAAAACTATAATTGTATCATTGTGGAACCAATTATATGCAGATTAAAAAAAATAAAGCTCAAAATTTTCTATACTCTAAATTTTTTCATTCTTTCTCATTATGTCAAATGAAGTAGATACTTTGTTTTACCTCTATCTTGGATACCAGTTCAAAATAAAAGTTTTGTTCACTTGAAAACGTCTATGATTTCTGGCTATAACATCTTGTACAACTTCCAAGGTGGTTATAAAACACCTTTTATGCTAATGCTGATTTGTCTTTGCCATTAGCATCACTGGTGATCCGCTCAATTACGCTGGTACCGAAAGTTTCGGTAACAAAATGTCGGAACGTCGAAGGTACGATTTTTCTTTTATCCTTATTTCACGCGTTGTAAGCAGAATCCCCAAGACGTTTTTTGTCACAAATGTGTGTCTGTATCGTATGTTTTAGAAAATCTATATGTTTGTGAAAGATATCTCAGAAGACAACAGAATCGTTGATTTAATTCCTCACTTAAGTTACATAAATGGTAGGGGTTAAAAGTGCAGATCTTAACTGATTTTTCGAAATACCGTTTATGTAACTTAAGTGAGGAATTAAATCGACGATTCTGTTGTCTTCAGAACTATTTGTTCGCAAATGTGTACATTTTCTTAAACATATGATACTGATACACGTTTGTGATAAAAAATGTCGTGGGAATTCTGCCTACAACGTGTGCAATAAGGAAAAAAGAAAAATCGTACCTTCGACGTTCAGACATTTTGTTACCGAAACAGTTCCAGCGTAATCGAGTGGATCACCAGTGAGCATACAGTGCATCACCAGTGAATCTTCATGGAACAAATCAAGTGTCCAAATATTTGTTACACTAGCAGTCACACTTGTAAATGATAATTTTAAAGACCCCATGCAAAGTTTAAAAATATGTTATCATTTAAATCTACTATTTTTTATGACTTTCACCTCTTGAACCCCAGTCAAAATTGTTTGAAACCAGAGAATTTTTCATTTTTGCCACCTTTTGACATTTTACCACATAGGGCCTACCTATACAACTTTAGATGCTTAACTTAGTAAAGATGGCATAGATCATTTCTACACATTTAAACATTTTTTGTTTAAATTGTGTGAAAATTGTTCAAATAATATGCAATTTTATTGAAAAATTCTCATCGCTCTGTGTTTCAAGGTCATTTCTTAGGTGATGAGAAATCTAGCCACTCCAGGTAGTCAAGAGGTTAAAGGGTTCCGATAAGCATCCCGTATAAAAACAATATGGCGGCTCCAGGCGAATCAACTGGATCAGTCCATTTTTAAGAAATAAGGGGAGTTCTGTAAAATCCAGTTTATTGAAATTGTCTTTGAGATAAAGTAATCCGTTTATAATGATTTTGAAAAACGCTATCCATGGAGTGATTGCGTTCAAACAGTACATGTACAACAGCCAATATAAATCCTTGTATTAGAACTGCTTTGTTTCATTTGGATATTTCATATGCCAAGCTGTGTGCTATTACGTTATGGGGATATTTAGATGCCAATTTTTCCTTATTATACACAAATAGAAGATCCTGAAACTTCACCCATAAATTTGGAATTGATTTGTCAAAATAAAAATCACCCTTTTATAAATGTGTGACGATCTATAATATACTTATGCTATATAACAGTTAGAGGTGTTGACACAACGACATCGAACCTGTGATCCCTTGAGTATTATTCCGGGATCAGGCCTTTTATACTAAATGGTGAGCAACACCAGAAACGAGCGTTCAATTTGCTAAACGATATGCGTCACCCTTTAAAAGATATTTGAGATATTTTCTGAAAAAAATGTTTGAAAAAAGGTTGTCAGCTATACAGTGCAAAACATTTTTTTAATGTCATTGCAAAGATAAGACAGTTACAAAAATACTTAATTATTCCCTCCAATACAATGCTGGAAGGGCACTTGAATCTAAAGTGTAAACCAGCTGCATGTGCTCCCTTAGCAGAACTTGGGAACACCATAGGTCTAAAGAAAATTCATGTTGGCCATACTTGAGAAACATCCAGTCAATTATGAAGGATAGATTAATCTGTTATTTATACTACATGTCATAGTGTTATACATGTATGTAGATACATTTTCCAGTTTGTTATTCAACTGTATTTTTGTGAATTTATTGTTTTTACAAAATTTTAAGATGAATAAGAAGTGCCAGGCAGAACATATTTGAAAACACCTTTCCCCTTGTCACAAAGAGGATAATGTTTGTTTTGTGGTGTCTTGTGATTCACGAGCGTTTTGTGACTGAATGCAACATCACTGGAGCAGATATAATCCAAAAATGTCTGACATTCAACATGTCCTGTAAGACTACATAAACCTGGTAATTGTTGTCAGTGTTAAAAGTATAGAGTATAAAGTATAGTTATATTATGAATCCACTTTCTACGTATACACTAATTATACAGCACTAGTCAATACTTAAAATGGCAGAAATAATCATGTGCTAATTTTTAAAAATTTTTAATTCACTGTTACAATGACACACACCCACACGACCCACACAGTTATTTCACAGTTTTTGGCAAGCATTTCCGTACATTTGGATATCAAGCACATTAGAAATAATGATAGTATGTTGTTATGTTGTTATTGTACTCGCCTGAAATAAAGATTAGACCAATTACATTTAGCTTTTCACAGATATACTTCTATTGTGCAAAACAAATAATTCTAGTATACAGTATTACTGACTATCTCTGAATTGGTTTTGGTATGAAACCAGCAAATCATTCTGTGTATATCAGCTTACTTTCACACGCCCTGTACAACTGTACTAAATGTAATACAATATTATGAAATGAATAATTTCAAGAATTTTGTGATCAACATTCAACTTTACATGTAATATATTTATTCATTATATTCAACTTATATGTACAAAATGATTTTTTTGAAAGAATCCATTGGAATGGTGACTAGTTTACATCCCTTGTTGAGCTCATGGCTTTCAAACTTTCACAAAGCATCATTCCTGCAATACATTGTATATTGGTGTTTTACACAGGCAGATATGCCGAGTACTTAATTAGTACTCATGGCATACTTGTACTAAATGAGTACTAGTTTTGTACTAACTGAGTACTCAACATATCTTCCCGAATGTGTACTTGTTTGGAGCAGTTGTCTCATTGATTTCCTTGTAACTTTGCCAAATATGGAAATATTTGAAAACCATGATGCCAAATCAGGCTAGTTTACACATTTTAAAATATGTAAATTAAAGCATTTATAATTATTTACATATATGCACTATTTACACACAGCATTCTATAGGGGTATATATAGGAGATTCATGTAATATAAGGTTCTATTAAAGACATTTCAAGCAATGGTGCAGTGTACATTCTCAACTACTGTAATGACTTTTGTACTCATGTATTATGAAGTGCATGTACTAGATAAAGTATATCAAATCTTAATATCATTTTAATATCAGTTTCTGAACACCCCTAGAGTCATATCAAAGCAAACACTAAAAATTATCTCAAAATATTATACAGAAATCATAAATAAACTCATTAAATCAGAGAGTATTTTTGTTAACTCATGAGCATATGCAAAATGTAATTTCCACTGAAAAATTATATTGCACAAAAAGGATATTGCACTGAAATCATACATAAATTTGTTAAAACAGAGTATTTTTTGTAGACATGAGAATATGCAAACTGTAATTTAAATTGCACAAAAGGATATTGCACTAAGAATATACACATTGCACTGAGAGGAA